CAACTTCGACTGCATTTTTTTCACTTGACACTTACTTCTAAAATCAGGCAATGCAATAATATAGGGGGAGGGTAGAGTTAACGAAATTTTTAAGCAACCAATCAGTAAAAATTTTGGGGATAAGGGGGGATCGGTGTAAATATATCAAAAAGGTGAGATTCTTGTCTTAATTGGGGGCCGGTGAAACATTAAAAATTTCTTTTCGGCAAATCATCTTCAGGGCCATAACATTGCAAACTAGAAAATGTTATGGCCCTGAAGATGATTTGCCGAAAAGAAACTTTTAATGTTTCACCGGCCCCCGATTAAGACAAGAATCTCACCTTTTTGATATATTTACACCTATCTCCCCTTATCCCCAAAATTTTTACTGATTGGTTGCTTAAAATTTCGTTAACTCTACCCTCCCCCTATATTATTGCATTGCCTGATGATGAATTAATGCAAAATGTTCGTTCCCCTAACTTTACTTCTAAAAATTTCCTTCTCTGCATATCCTATTTCCCCACCACCCAAGACTCTATAACCACCGTTTTTGCAGAACAAAATGCTGGAACTATTCGTATATGAGTGGGCCTAGATAAGTAACTTTGCCTAGAACTCTACTCAGGTAGTCTTTTCGGACTAAAAACATATTTGAGAAGATCAGTTGATATTTCATAAGAGGAATAATCAATTGTATCCGCTCTGGGTTTTAAGCCTCCTCCCTCCTCGACAAAGTGGAAAAATAAAAAAATAAACGCGCGCAGATTTAAACCTTTTCAGGATTAATGAACAGATTCAGCGTACCCTTTTCATTAATTAATGTTTTTCTAGTGTGAATGATTCCCCCGAAATCAGGAGGTAAAACACTCCTTTTCTATGACCGATTATGGAAAAAAAAGCCACTGAGACTTTTTGGGACTAATTTTTGGTAAAGATGACTTGTATGGTCGGTTAGCAGCACAGGAATGAGGGCAGCCCACAGTACAGGTGACATTCCGCCAAAATTAAGTTTAGGGTTAGGTTAAAAATTGGGGATAGGGTCAGGATTATGCTAAAGTTTAAGGTTTGGATTTGTGGTATTAATACTTAAAAAGGATACAGTAGATGCTTGTCAGTGAGGCAGTTGAATATGGCTGACTGTCGAGAGCAAAATGTTCTCTTAGCATCATACATCAAACAAACATACATCGAAAATGTAACCGAAACCTCTATTGCATGTTTCTAATATACACGTATGTCAAATTAGTGGATTAGTCCTAATGTTCCCCTTACTGCCTGACCTTATTTGGAGTGACTCTGTCAAGCATTTTAATTAACAGAATTAATGGATATTCTAGTGGACTTGTCGGTCTGTACTTTACCAGAATCGGCATAAGATAACTATTCAATGATTGTATAAACATGACCAGTTTCTCCTATGTGCGATCAGTTCGAAGGCCAATAGTTAGGCATTTTGTTCAACCTTTAGTTCTTAAATAGGTCGGTAATGGATATATGTATCCCCTTTCTATGAACTGTAGCGCAGGGTCAGCTGTACTATGGAAATGAGGATAATAGGGCTTTGTAAAATTTGGGCCTTTCGTGACTGTAGGCAGAGTCACCAAATATATTAAAGGAAAAAAAAACACACTACCACCATATACCTGTTTTAATCTGTTGAAAGCGAACTTAGTAGACACTATGTAAGCGTTATTATTCAGAAGACTATTTGCATACTTAGGAACCAATATGTTGGAAAAACGCTGTGAAAAACAAAATATTCTCATATAAATACAAATCTAAGGTTGTGAAACGGATTTGCTTCGCAGAGCTAGCAAGCTCACACCGGTAGCCCTATATCTGTCCCCTCGTGGATATGCATGTCAATCTAGTGGATGCATTAAATCTTCCCTTTTCTGACCGTAAAACGACCTGATCTCGTTTCGATCTCGTTTCGTCTTAAGCATTAAAATTAACAGGCTAGGTCAATTTGCTATTGAACACAGAGATGACGATCAGGATTGTATCCTTTACTACAGCAAAAAATTTTAGGAATTTGACTAAGTTAGTCATGTTTTTTGCGAATAAACACTCCCGTCACAAAACCTTTGTTAGTCGAAATTCCTGTCACTTCTATCTGATTGCGTATAGGTGGCGGAAGCAATGGACTACCTCGAAAATGCCCGGAGCTTTCATGGCGATCTGCGTGCCGCAAACATCTTCCTCGCCGCCGACTTCACTGTGAAGGTCGGGAATTTCGGTCTGAACAAAATACTCAACGATACTGACGCCCACAAGCAGAGTAAGCGCTTCACTATGTCGTTATCGTAAGGATTTTTAAACTTTACATTTCTGCGCGGTAAGGTTTTTATTTTAAAAATATTAAAAGCACTCACACGGAGACGCAGGCAAAGTTGATGTATTTACATTATTCCTGGCTAATTTGTTTTACCTTTTTTTTACCAAAATACAAGCTTTTGTTTGCACTGCATAGTAGTGAATTATTTAGCTCGCCTATTCGTTATAACGGTTGACGACTAAGTTAATTTGACGAAGTACTACATTATTTATTGTCGCCTTACGTATCTTTCGTGTAGGTAGAAAGTACACCTTAAGGTGGGCCGCACCAGAGACAGTCAAGCCAGGCTACATCGACTCAATTAAGGCTGATGTTTGGTCCTTCGCAGTCCTGGCATTTGAAGTTTTTACATTCGCCTCGGAGCCGTATGCCGGTAAGATGAGACCGCGTGTTTGTGTGCTGATTATTATATCGCTACAATTACACCCCGCCCTTTTCAATTCGCAGGGAAAACGCGAAACGGTCTCGTGACCTAGGATATAATATGGACCTGCTTACTGACTTTAAGGTCCTTTTTAAGACAGCGTATTTCGTTGGCGGACAGTGTTTTCATCGCATGGATCAAACAGACCGAACAACATACCACCCAGGAATGCTCTGTCGTGCAAATCCTAAATTAGATAGCACATGCTGATCAAAGGCTAAAATACGATTAGTAGCAAACGTGGACTAGCTTGGTAAAGGTACCAAATTATGGCTTTTGATAACTAATGATAAAAATGGTGGCGGCAATATGATGGAATATTTTGTAATCCTGTTTCAAAAATAGAACTTCTTTGTTATATACATCGGGCACGTTTTAAGAAGGACGTCAGTATCAGTGATATCATAAATTTGACATCGAAGACACCCGTTAGGACGCTAACATTCCTTCCTGACTATGACCACCATTTGGCTGTTTTCCAAAAAAAGCTGGAAAGAAGAGTCATTTCATTGACTGATTCTTATAGATGAACTCTCATAAAGTGGGCTCAATAGTCACTATGCCAAAATCTTTTGAACTGCTAGGATTGCGTATGATGAACTTATTCAAGAAAAAGGAATTGGAACATATGTAATGGCAGATTATGAGCAACAAGGGACTTGCACTGCCAATGCAGGTGTATGAGCAGACGCAGTTCAATCGCCAACACACTAGGTAAATGTTGGTTGCGCGCTGGGTGGTCTACTGACGTTGATTAATTAGGAGTACATACTATGTCGTCACCTGATCCACATTGTTACGCGTCAGCTATCATTTAGGAGATTGGTCTTAATAAACTCAGCCGTTTGTAAGAAAAGTATTTATAAGCGTAATTTGATTTAGACGAACGTTTCAGCCTGATTAAAGCATGCTTGCCTGTTCGACAGAATAGACGCTGGAAAGGAGGGAGATTCTATTGACTGATACCATACCCTCCTGCTCTTGGAGTGTGGCAGTAAGTTGCCCC